TTCAAATCTTTATAACATCAGTGGGCACCCTGTTAGGAAAAGTTTAAGGAAGAAATGAAATAATTCCCATGGAGCACTCAGCCTTGTGCCATGTGGTAGCTATAAATATTAATGGACTCTGAAGATGCCAAGAAAATATGACTTGCTCAAAATGATTTAAATCTGCATACAGAATCAGATCAGTGGTTATAAATAAGTGTTTTGCTGCTAAAACAGAATGAAATAAATGCATAAGGCCAATAGATTTTAGGTTATATGTGTATTCTGCCTGTTTAATAATTTAGGATTTCATTATTCAAAACTAGTTTTTCAAACAGGAAGCTTTCTGAAGCTGGGTAGCCCCTGACTCTACTAAAGCACCAGAGTTCCTCATAATCTCTTAGGGTTTTATCTTTTGGATATTAAACTTTCAGGAATATTTGTCATTGAGAGATCATTGCTTTCTATTTGTTATTGGAAATCAAAATCAGAGCTCTTCTTTTATGAAGCCCTTCCTCATAAAAGCTAATAATAGCCAGTAAAGTGAATTTACATTCAGTTTACGGTTCTCTTTTTTAAAACTATGAATTGACTTTAAGCCTAATATTTTTACTATATTCATTTAATCATTCTTGTTTTATGAAAGTTATAAATAAGTTAAATTGAAAATAAAATTGTTCTACTAAATCTACTGAGGACTAAAATGTTTTATGGTGTGTTTCTTTGTAATTAAAAGAATCACTATTAATTTGAATTTACATAAATGATATTTTGGTTTTTAAAATGGATAAAATCAGCCTTTTGCCAACTGGATTTTCCCTCCACTTGTTTTTATTTGGAGGCCCCACCTATTAGTGCTCAGGGGCTACTTATGACTCGCCCTTGGGAGACATTCCTGGCAGTGCTTTGGTTCCACACTATGTCTTCACAAAATAAGTGTGGTGCCCTCTCTCTGCAAATGTTTGATGCTCAGGAAGCTTTCCCACCCTGGATGGTTGATGGTGATGGCCAAAAAGAGAAAACAAGGCCTAGGCTGGTTGGTGATCAGTTGCCATTTATTCCAACATAGTCTTCCTCTGCCTCCTTCCAGTCTCACTCACTGCCCATGATCCTTCTCCCCCAGCCAACTCCCAACTTCCATAGCCTAGTTGTGGAGAACAATAACCAAGTATCTGTGGGTAGTAAATTCCACATAGGTGTGATAGCACAATCAACACATGAAAGCCCTTCCTTCCTTCCTTCCTTCCTTCCTTCCTTCCTTCCTTCCTTCCTTCCAGGCTCTTCTAAGACAAAGATCTCCTCTTAACTTGTTGTAAGCTTTATGCCACATGGTCTGTTCCATTTCAATGCCAGGTAGTTTACCACTTGCCCTGGGTCCATTCAGTCCTTTGTAGGGACACTGCTTCTGGGGTACTAGGAACTAAGGGCAGTGAGAATTAAGTTGAGTAAATATGACTGATGCCCAGTGGCAAATATTATTCAGAGTCAATTAATTCCCAAGTTATAAAAGCATAACATTAACTGTCTTCCTGTGTCTATACAAAAAGGACATTGCTTTAAAGTAGGGCTGGAGCGATAGCACAGCGGTAGGGCATTTGCCTTGCACGCAGCCAATATGGCCAACCCGAGTTCGATTCCTACACCCCTCTCGGAGAGCCTGGCAAGCTACCAAGAGTATCTTGCCCGAACGGCAGAGCCTGGCAAGCCACCCGTGATGTATTCGGTATGCCAGACACAGTAACAACAAAGTCTCCAATGGAGACGTTACTGGGCCCACTCGAACAAATCGATGAACAACGGGAGGACAGTGACAATGAACAGTGACAATGCAAAGGGCATAAGGGGGAAAGAAAAAGCAATATTTCACTTACAAATAAAAATTCAGAGATCTCTGAAGAATTTGAGCCTTTACAAGTCACAGGTTCTGATTATGGGAAATAACTGATTAACAGAGAGGGGAAGCAGAGCACAAAGGAGAAGTTAAAGATGAATACAGAGGAAATGGGAGTGTTTTGGGAGCATTGTGATGGATGTTACTCAGTAAACCTAAACTCCTTTCTGCAAAGGAGAAAGGTTGGAGGAAAAATGGCAAACCAATGCTAAACCTAAAATGTTTAGAACTATCATCCAACACAGACCTAGGCCAGATGCAAAGCTTGCATGCCCTTGAGTTCTCTCTCTCCAGCCCCCACTAAGTTTTTTTTTGTTCTATTCTTACTCCATTCAGTTTTCGTTTGGAGGTCACACATGACTGTGCTCAGGACTTACTCCTAGCTCTGTGCTCGAGGATCACTCCTGGTGGTGCTTGGGAAACCATATTCTGTGCTGGAGATTAAACCCAGGAGAGCCCGGCAAGCTACCGAGAGTATCTCGCCCTCACGGCAGAGCCTGGCAAGCTCTCCGTGATGTATCCGATATGCCAAACACAGTAACAACAAAGTCTCCGATGGAGACGTTACTGGGCCCGCTCGAGCAAATCGATGATCAACGGGAGGGCCTTTACTTTACTTTACCTTAACTCTGTGCAAGACAAGTGCCTTACCCCTGTACTATCTCTCTGAGTTCTGGATTTTCCTAAAGCTGGACTCGATCAGATGCTGTGCCTCAGAGATGATATCAAAATTATGGAAACTATTTCTCTTTGTTGTGGTTTCTTTTTAATGCTGTGTTAATACAGAACTTCAAAACGATTGGTTCCTTATTTTTATTGGGTTAACAAATGGCGAAATATTTTCCCTACGAAAAAGTATATGGGTTAGACCTCTATTTGCTCAATTATCTGTACCCACATGCAAGGCTGGTCATTGGGCCACACCTGATAGAGCTATGGGCTTGCACACGTGTCTGGCATACATACGACTGGTTTTGAATCCAGCACTGTAGTTCTCCTAAGTCCCGCCTGGCATAGTGACAATGGGCCTCAGCATCGCAGAGGAGGGCTCCCAAAATTCAGAGAATAGATATGAAGTATAATTACAAATCATAAGCCTTTAGCAGTAGAAAACTTTGCAAAATTAAATGGTGTTTTCTTTTCTTTTTTAAAAAATTTTTATTTGTGAAACACCATGAGGTGCAGTTGTAGACTTATAAATATTTGTGCTTGGGTTTCAATTATACAATGTTCGAGTACCAATCCCTCCCCCCAGTGCCCATTTTCCACCACCACTGATTCCAGTATCCCTCCCACCCCCCATCCCTCCCATTCCACCCTACTTCTGTGGCAGGGAAGTCCCTTTTGTTCTCTCTCTCCTTTTGGGTGTTGTGGTTTGCAAAAGAGGCATTGAGTGGCCATCGTGTTCGGTCCATAGTCTACTTTCAGCATGTATCTTCCATCCTCAGAGGATCCTCCCAACACCCTTTATTTGCTGCTCCCTTCTCTATCAATTATAAGGAGCTGCCTTTTCCCCTAGCATGTGAGGCTGGCCTCCAAGCCATTTCTACGTGGTCACCATCAAATGTTTGATTTTCAGGGACTCATGTCAACCCCATAATAGTGGTAATTCTACAGACTGGGGAGGGGTAAGGGAAAGGGTATTCTTTCCCTCCCCTTTCTAAATTAAACTTTCTACTTTGAGATTATAACTATATGAAGTTGTTACAAGATTCCACTTGGTTTCTCCTCATGGTAATATTTTGTACACTGAAACATTATTGTTCTTTTTTTTATGTTTCCATCTTGCACACATAGTAATGGCATTGCATTGTCACAACTGGAATATTGGCAGAAGCATAATTCATCAATCTTGTTTCAGAGATATTTTATTTATATTAATTTGCTTGTTTGGTTAGTTTTATGCATTTTATAACATATGCCCGTACATGTATCCACTACTAGAACTGAACAGAGAACACTTATGTCACCATGAGTCAGAAAGAGAGGGACAGACATAGAAGGACTGTACTCATTTGTGGAAAATAGAACAAAATATCATGAGGCTGACATCCAAGGACAGTGGATACAAGGTCCAGGAAGATTGCTCCATAGCTGAATCCCGCCTCATGAGTGGAGGGGAGAAAGCAGATAGAATAGAGAAGGGATCACTGAGAAAATCATGGCTGGAAGAATTGGTCGGGATGGGAGATGTGTGCTGGAAGTGGATAATGGACCAAACATGATGACCTCTCAGGATCTGTATTGAAAACCATAAGGCCCCAAAGGAGAAAAAGAGGATGGGGAATATCGTTTGCCATGGAGGCAGGGGGTGGGCGGGAAACGGGGGTATACCGGGGATATTGGTGGTGGGGAATGTGCACTGGTGTGGGTATGGGTGTTTGATCATTGTGTGATTGTAACCCAATCATGAAAGCTTGTAACTATCTCATGGTGATTCAACAAAATAAAATTAAAAAAAAAAATAAAGAATTTCTGGTAGTGGGACTGGGTGGATAGTACAGCTGGTAGGGTGGTTGCCTTGCATGTGGCCAACCTGGGTTCAATCCCTGGCATTCAGTATGGTCCCCCGTCCCCTAAGCACCACCAGGAGTAATTCCTGAGTGCAGAGCTAGGAGTAACCCTCGAGCATCGCTGGGAGGGACCCGAAAAACAAAAAAATCAAGAGTTGCTGGTTGAATTCAATTAAAGCTGCACCACCCCAACTCCCCCATCGATTTTTCCATACTGAGAATTTTAAGATTTTTTCTTTCTGGTTAAAAGGCTCTCCCGTTGATCATCGATTTGCTCGAGCGGGCCCAGTAACGTCTCCATTGGAGACTTTGTTGTTACTGTGTCTGGCATATCGAATACTCTTGGTAGCTTGCCGGCCTCTCCGAGAGGGGCGGAGGAATCGAACTCGGGTCGGCCATGTTGGTTGCCTGCAAGGCAGATGCCCTACCCACTATGTTTTTTAAAATAACTGATTTCTTCTCTTACAAGTCGCTGCAAATAAATGATTAGCAACATTTGTAGATGACCTCTCTAGAGTTGCACACCTCTGTTGTTTGGTGAAGAAACCAATAGCAGAGCTGAAAGGAGCTTGACTGCACAGCAGCAATTCTCACACTATCTTTGTTTCCTTTCTCAGATTACGCTCGATTTGAGGCCAAAATCCATGACCTGCGAGAGCAGATGATGAACCACAGCATGAGCTCTGGGTCTGGATCCCTGCGAACCAATCAGAAACGTTCCCTCTATGTCAGGTAGGCAAGAACCTTCGTTACTGTGATGTTCATTTTTAACAATCCCTCTGGGGCACATGACGCGGACGTGTGCCTTGTTGCAAGGAGTAAGTGTTCCTATCGACCTATGAGCATCAATACACCACTATGAGACATCAACTTTAGAAGAAATATTTGAAATGCTAAGTTCGATTAATTGCTTTTAACAAATTATCCTTTGACAGTGATTCAGGGGAAAGCTACAGGTAGCTTTAAAAAGTAATGACAAAAAACCTTTTTCAATTCTGAAAATCATCTTTGAGTATGTGGTTCAAGGTCATGGATATATTCCCCCCATTAGTATAGGTGGAAAATATTCCCTGTATCATCTCCTGACCTGCGGGATAAATATTGCTTTGACTTTTGTGTACTGATTTGAAATTGGAAGTACTCTTTTAAAAACTTATGTAGTTTTCCTCCCCAGCAAGCTTTGGTGAAAATATTTCCTTCTGTGGTATCTTCTTACCAAGAGTTTTTCAGACCATAAAGTAACTTTGATGATAATATGTATTCATTTACTTTTTAAAAATGATTATTGAACTAGAAATGCCTTTTCAGCGTTTTATATCCATAGTTAACTCAGCTAACTGTGTAAAAGCCATCAAACTCAACTATAATAGGCTCCTCTTATAGATGTGTGTGTGCGTGTGTGTGTGTGTGTGTGTGTGTGTGTGTGTGTGTGTGTGTGTGATGCTAAGGAGAAAACTCAGGGCTTCTTACATGCAATGCATGTGCTTAACCACTGAGTCGAGTCTCCCATCATACACCTCTTCTTAGCACAGGTTTTGTATATTCTTTCCAAAGTATTCTTCATCAGTGTGGTCTATACTCTAGTACTTTGATTCCTCTTTGAAAAGGTTTCTTTTGCGTATATTAGGGAGTCATAGCAAGGTCAAGAAAGGAGAAAGGTTCCAGAAGGCAGCAGGTTCTCCACAATACTGATTTGTTGAGTTCCTTCTTATACCAGAGCAGTTAGGCACTGCAGAAGTTCTGATATTTTAATTTTAAGAAGATTAAAATATAAAGGTCAGTACAATAGTACAGCAGGTAAGGTACTTACCTTGCATACAACTGGCCTGGGTTCCATCCCTAGGACCCCATGTGGTCCCCTGAGCTTCCTGGAATGATCACTGAACACAGAATCAGGAGTAATCCCTGAGTACTGTTGGCTGTAGCCCCAAAACCGAAGAGAAAAAAATCAGAATATAAAGGTACCAAATTTGTCCATAATTGCATTTTTGAAAATTATTTTGATGTACTTTGATATAATCTGGGGAAGTGTTGGGACCAACCCTAAAATAAGTCTTGTAGTAAGGTCTCAGATATGAAAATTGACTATTTCTGTTTATCTTCTGTATCATTGAACTTTATGATTTTATATGTACACCTATATATATATATACATTACATATTTAGTGGGAAAGATTGAGATCACACCCAGTAGCACTCAGGAAAGAATGAAGGAAAGAAGGAAGGAAGGCAGAAAGGAAGGAAGGAGGAAAAGAATGACCAAATGAAAAGTAAGGAATAGGATGCATAAAAGTGGTAGTATACAGGAAAATTGCTGAAAATATATCAAAAGTACTTTGTACCTTTCCTATATAAGAGGAAAATTAAATGAAGTTATATGATAATACTATGTAAAACTAATGAATTACTTCAAAGACTAATTTTAATCCAAGCCAAACTTTTATTTTTTTAAATAAAATGATGATATGTGAAAGAGATGAATACTTTAAAATAATGAATATTTACTTAAAATTCTAGTGATTGAGTTTGTATTGCAAGGAAACTGCCTTTAAATGAGGCTCAAAAAGAACTGGTACATCTATGAGAAATTCTCTGAATGGTTTCCCTACAGTATCCAAAAGTGGTATTTGATTCCCAATGTTCAATTATTAATGCTTCTTTTATATACGTGGACTGAGCTCAGCATTAAAATAATAGGTATAGAATTAAGAGGGCTTTGTTACATGCATAGAGGAAAATCAAAGGGAAAGAACTTAAAGAATTTCCTGACTTTGTTCTCTGCAATTTAGTGAAATAGACCCCAGCCTCCCATCCCCAAAAACAATACAAAGAAATGAGTTAGGAAGACTGATAGGGGATCTTTACTAAAAATAATTCGGAAATGTGTACCTTTGTCATTTGGTTTTGTTTGTGTGTCTAATGCCAAATTTATGTCTAACTGGATTTTCATAGGGCTGTTTGCTTTAATCTAGAATGTTTGAATCAGTATACTACCAGTTGGTTGGGCTTATTTTAGCAAGTCAGCTAGTTGCTCTCAAATTAGTAGCGGGGTTTCTCTGATTATATAAATATCAGATCATTAGCATGTCTTTTGAATCTGAGAATGACACCCTGGAGTAATTCTCTTTGTTCTGCCTAGCTTTATGTAATTCCAGGACAAGAAGGAAATTTAACTCTCACAGGTTGTTTTATGTACCTAGGGGAAACTGGGGTTCTGGGAGGGAATGGATGGCATACTTCTGTCCACATCATTACCTCCCTGGTCATCACTGCCTCTGTCCCCTCACCACTCCCACCCCACCCCCAAGTTTTATGTGGCATAGATTTTTGAATCCACTTTGGCTAAAAATTCCTAATCTATTTAATAAACACAATGACAGTCTCTTGAATTTAGGAATAGTTTAATTAAAAGGAAAAATCAAAATACACATCTTTTGAGTTTTTTTATTTTTTTAATTTTTATTTATTTTGCTTGTTGGGTCACACCCGGCAATGCTCAGGGCTTACTCCTGGCTCTGCACTCTGGAATCACTCCTGGCGGTGCTCTGGGGACCATATAGGATGCTGGGAATTGAACCCGGGTTGGCAGCATGCAAAGCAAATGCCCTACCCGCTGTGCTATTACTCCAGCCCCTCTTTTGAATTTTTAATATAAGATACACTGTACTGTAAAATATAAAGATTTTCTTTAGTATTATTCATACTTGTTATAGAGCCAAAGCCAAAGCAGAAATCAAGCAGCTGTCTTGTTTCGTAAAATTTAAAAAATTTAGCTGATTTAATAGGACATTTGTCTGCACCAGAAGACCACCTTCCCCTCAGAGTTTGATTCTCATCTTTCCTAGTCACAGAATTGCAAGTTCTTCCCCTAACTCACGCACACACACATAGTGACACATTCTTGCCTTGTTCATATTCTTGCCTCGTTCTGTCCATGAGAATGTACCGCCCCGACGCCCCCAGACCCACACAGGTGTTCTAATTCCCTGCTAGAAATGATCCTGCCTTGTTTGAGCAATTTATTTGCCTGAAAGTATGGAAGGGAAGAGGAAAGCACGTTTTCAATATGAGCCAGTCCTCCTGATTTTCCAATCAAGTTGTCATTTTTTTCTTCCTTTGAAATTTTTCTCTTACTTTACTGCAAGGTGCTTGTGCCTCAGTAGTGTTGTACAAATGTAGTTGACATTTACGAATAATAATACTGTATGAATTCTGGTATTTTTCCTGCATCGTGAAAAATACATAGTGGTAGAACCTTCAGAATAGACACAATGCTAGAAATTTAAGTTCTTTTCAGAATGCTCCATTAGCCTTTTATCAGTGTGGGTACACTACAGGGATACTGACCCTGCACACATTCCTCAGGGCTCTCCCAATGGGCATATTGAATACCCTTTGCACTAATGAGTCTCATCCCCTTCTTACCTACCACCTTGAATTCTCTTTGCACTAATGTACTTCATCCACTTCTTACCGACCACCTTGTGAAAGCATGACTACAGCGAAATAAACAAAAACCAGGCTTGTCCTTTTATTAGTAGAACTGAAACTTTTTGTTTGAATCTTCCTGAGAAAGAGGCAGGAGACAAAGCACAGGAGTTCAGACACTTGCCTGGCATCAGCTACAGCTGTCTTAACTCTGGTTTGAATCCTCAGCGCTACTTACAGTTCTCCAGAGATCTGCCACATTTTAGCACCTCTAACTATAGTTTCCAAACTCCCCAAAATGAAAGACCAGTTAGAAAAAATTCAGAGATTCAGAAGGTTAGAGTCATTTACAAACGTACAAGTAGCAAAGGAAAGACCCTCTTTTTCAAAATAGAGAACTCAGACATTGGGAGAATGGATAAAAGGAAGAAAGAAAATCCATTACCAAGGAGATGAAAGTCACCAAAAGTCAAGGAGAGACTTGGCCCGTGTTCATTTGCTAATGAAGGTATTGATTTGGAAAATTCAAGTGAATTATTTCTGTGTTGTGATTTGGGCTTAACCATCAATTCCTATCATTTATTTATGTATTTACCAAGCTTCTATTTTTGAGTATTTTATTTCTTTATGCCAAGACTAAGATAGACTCTGAGGACCCAGGGAGAAAGCAGTTTTTTTTCACCAACTAAACTCATCCCTAATAAGGAAGACAATCACAATATGTTTTGAAAATCTTTAAGTTTAGAAAAATCTGAAACTTTCGTTATTTCCTAATGCACTAATTATCTTTAGAGATTCTTAAAAATGTCATGATTTAACTTAGAGCCTTGGAGGCTTTTTATTCAAAGTGAAGAAGGGTTGAACTCAGGGTCTTAAGCATGTTAAGCATATGTGACACATTGAACTATCCACTACCCTACACCCACTTTTTTTTAAACATCGGTAGCTTACACTTGTTATCTTTTAAGACAACTTAAGCTTTATAAGCTTTAATGTGACTAATGCATTTACTTCAGCCTCTTGCATTATTGCTAAACATAAGACTTTTATATACTGATTCATTAGTACATTGATTCATTCAACAAACTTTTATTTGGTACTTAACCAACAAGGCAGCCATCTGCAGTAGACAGTAAAGATAAGTGACAACATGCTCTTTCCCTAAGGAGCTTCATAATCCATGTCTGCAGGCTATTCAGGTAGTGTGCATAGCATTGCTGTAACTATCATTTCCTGATGCTTATCTTCCTTGGAATTATTATCCTCTTTTTAATCTTTACAACATGGCTATATCGCATCACAAG